CTATTTATAATACTGCGCATAGTCAAAATAAAAACCGTCTAATACAAATGACAAAAACGAGGATATTTTTCTAATTAAATGACAATTTTATTTGATAAACTATAATATTTTTGAGGTCAAATATTAACCAAAGAGTTTTGAAAAATTTTTTGAAAATAACAATTATATCACACTAACCGATTATACCCGAAGTGATAACAATGGGTGCAATATATGCATAGACTATCCGATTAACCAGTGATACTCGCTCGGGACCCATTGATACGTTAGACATTAGTTGCAGATACGAATGGGATAAAGCCGGATCATTAGAACTTAAAGTTTTATCGGTAATTAATCTCGCGCACAAAGTATGCCTCATTTTTGATAATCCAACAGTACACAGATAAGAACATTCGTTTTTCTACAGTACAGTAATAATAACAGTTTGATTTCGATGATTGTATGATCGTTGGCGGTGGCAGTGATAATGATGACGCTGTTTAGTTAACTACAGTTATAATATACTAATAATAATAAAAAAAGTTAGCCAAATTTTACTTTTTATAGAATATTTACGGGAGCCATTAAGAATTTATCAGTGTAGTAATAATAATAATTAAATACAGTGGTAAATCAATGTTAGAAACCCGTTAGCGAGAAGTGAAAAGGTTCAGTTTTACAAATAAAGAAATAAATAAAAGCTTTTGTCTACGTATTTCACAGGCAGAGATCAGATAGTACAGGACATTCAGTAGGAAAGGCGAATTAAAAATACTGATACGTTGTCTTCGGTGCCCCGATGTAATGCTTCTTTCACTAAATGTTCAGCGACTCTGAAATACAATCACAGTTTGAATTATCTTAGCCATAACATCATACATCATTAAGCAACAATTATAAGTTATTTGGCACATATCTTTTTTTTTTAACCTTATTCTGTTTATTTTTCTGTTTTTTCTTCCTCTTCTTTTTCTTCCAGCTTCTTCTTTTCAAGATCCTTTTTTTCCTGTCCCCTTTTCTTCCCCTGTCACCATTCTGCTCCTCCTCCACCCCTAGTTGTCCAAAGACCAATATTAGTTCAGAAAAGAAAATTAATTTACCTTTCGTTACATTCTTCTTAAGTCAACTTAGGTAGAATTATATTGAGAGTTATACTTCACAGTTAGAGTGGCTCAAAAAATACAGATAAGTGTTGCCTTGCTAAGATTGATAATAAAAAAAAAAATACACACACAAACACACACAAATTAATTCTACTTCTTCAGCTGCCTCTTTTCCTTCCTCTCAGTTCCTCTCCGCCCCCCCCCCCCCCCCCCCCCCCCCCCCCCCCCCC